AAAAGTCTTTTACTCTTCTGCTTTGAGGTTGAGTCATAAATATTAAACTGGTAATTAAGTTTTTGACTATTTCTCTGATTTATTATAAATTAATACACTTCTAAAAATAAATAAACTGTTTAGACTGAGTAAATTAAGGAGAATTTTATTTTAGGAAATTTGCTGACCCACCCACCAGCAAAAGATAGTCATCTGAGTAAAAGTATAAATTCTGTCAGCTTAATATAATATATATACCTAATACTGGTGGTTGAACAAACGCAGAAGGAAACGCTAATGTGGACATTAATCCTGTTTGTTTCGATAAATAACAAGGACTTTTAATTCAGGCTAGCCATTCTTCTGAGGTTGTATGTTTGTGTAATTAATGGTTAATTTAATATAATGCCACCAACCACAATTGCTGCGTTGGTTGCATTTCAATTGAGAATTTTATTTGAAGTGAAAATTCATCAAATCAGGATATAAGATTGTCTTATACTTTACTTATAACAGACGAAAAATGTCAATGCCGGGATCTTAAAGTTACCTCTTCATTTTTATATTTTTAAATGCCAGAAAACTTTACATTTTGCCATTCCAAACAAGAAAGGGAAAGGATTTTACTTATGCAATGATTATCAAGCTTTACCATTTTTGTTTACTTTTTTAATGACACATGTTACAGTTATAATATAATTGAATACATTTTAAATGATAATTTTCTTACTTACTCCTGGAAGTTTGCGAATGCACCAACCAAAGAAAGTTCTACAGCTACTAATAACATGTAAAACTTGTGGGATTTGTATTATAAAGAGCCATTCAAACTTAGATAAGTCAAGTTTTAATGGTTGTAATATTCTCTTCTGTGCATATGTTGGTCATGATCTTACAGCTGAAGGTGTATATATAGCATACTCTACAAGTTAATTAGTCAATGAGTAATTTGCGTTGGAGGTGTTTGTGACATCCAACAATGCTTGAGAAGGAGAGGTGATGTCTAGTTATTTACTTTATGATCTCTTAAATTGTTTAAAATGTGTTTTGGGTTGAAACCAAGAAGCAAAATTGCGAAATTTGTGCGTCTGAAACTGATAATATATTATAGTAATACGTGCGTATTTAATTTGACAACATATATTCTCGACCAAAGAAAATTATATGCTTGTTTTTGTATTCAAATTAAAACGTTAGCATAGTCGCGTTTTTGACACACATTCTTGACAAAAGAAAACTACTATTGATTTGAGTCATAAATTCTTGACAAAAGAAAACTATATTGAGAAAGATTTTGATTTGAAATCATATAATCTTGACAAAAGAAAAAGTATTATTGATTAACACGTATATTCTTGACAAAAGAAAATTATATTAATTAAGATTTTTTTTATTCAAATTAAAATGTTAGCATAATCGCATTTGTGACACATGTTCTTGACAAAATAAAATTATATTGAGAAAAATTTTGATTTGAAATCATATAATCTTGAGAAAAGAAAAAAAATATTATTGACTAACACGGATATTCTTGACAAAAGAAAATTATATTAATTAAGATGTTTTTTGTATTCAGATTAAGATGTTTACCATAATCAGATGTTTTGAAACATATATTTTTGACAAAAGAAAATTATTTTTTATTATAATGTTTTTGTATTCAAATAAAAACTAAATATTTAGCATTTTGATTATACATGATAAACAAATATAAACTAAAAAACATAAATAAACTTAAAATACTTTAATCTATTAAAGTTAATCACATTCATACTCAGTAAAAAAAAAAACCAAAACAGTAAAAGTAATGTTGTTAGTTGATTAAACGTGTGGATTGTGTAATATCTTCAGGATACGTGAGGTATTCCAATACTTTTGCTCGGGAATATTTTCTTTCTAGTAGTCCGAAACCTTGGCTAACTAAACAATCTGCTTATTATGCAAATAATCTAGTTGGTTCGAATTACACTCCAGTCTAATCTTGTTATTAGTCTTCTGAGCCTAGGTACAGGTTTGAGAGTTACAATATTTTCTCTGAATTATTAGTTGATACACTTCTAAACAGGGACGTTGTCAGAATTTTAGTGAGTGGGTTCAAATATATAGCTTTTCAAAATCTAAGAATTTAATCTTTCAATTTCAAACTCATTTATTAAACTCAACAAAAACATATTCATGATCTTTCATCAATTAAGAAAGAAACAAAAAAGCCCTAAATATATCAAAATTAAACTAAATCCCAAAATCTGTATAACTTAAGATTTTATCAATTCTTTAAACCCATTCAAAATTAACTTAATAACTAACCAAAATTTATTAAATCCAAACTTAAAACAACAATTAATTAACCTATTATCAACATAAAAAAGATTAAATTAAAACCCACATCAAAATATACGAATTTAATCTTTCAATTTCAAACACTTTTATTAAACTCAACAAAAACTCATAGTTTATGATTTTTTATCAATTAAGAAAGCTAAAAGAAAAAAAAATTTAAAAAAAAAAAAAAGAGAAAGAGATGGAATAATCTTTCTTGAGTAATCTAAATAAAGGAATAAAAAAGAGAGAAAAGGAAAAGAAGGGGTTAAGATTATAAATTTAATAATATATAAGAATTTTTTTTTTTTTTTTCCAAAAGTTGAGTGGGTTCATTGAACCCACAATTATGTACGTGGCTATGTGCTTGCTTCTAAATGATAATAATCTCCAGAATATCTGCTAACACAACCAAACGATAGTCCTTAATTCAGCTACTGAAAGCATGTAAAACATTAAAAAAAATGAGTAATACTAGCCTTACAAAGAGACATACAAAAAGTCATATAAAGAGTCAAATTCAACCCTTGAAATAAAAGAAAAAAAGAGAAAAAAAAAGGCAATAATGAATTTCAATAGTTAGATTTGACTCTTTATATGTTTCTTTATAAGGTTAGTATTACTGTTTAACTATTCGTCTTAATTAAAATATTCCCTGTTGAATGCACAATAATATCACATCAATTATTTAATGTAATTAAGCTTGCTGTGTTGATAGCATTACAATTTACAATTAATATTTCTTTAAGTGTAAACACATCAAACCAAGATACGCATCTTATCTTATTCAAATTTACAAATAAAACAAACGTCGATGCCAGGACCTTATAGTCATCCCGTTCTTATTTTTCAGTGCTGGGAGTGGGACCAAACATTTTGTTATACCTGACAAGTAAGCAAAAGGATAATCAACTTGACATTATCATCAACCGCCATTTTTTTTTTTTTTAATGAAAACTTTTACCTTTTTTATAAGTTTAAACATTAGATTTGATAAAACTCCAATCGCTCGGAACTTGTAAACATAAAAAAATATGAGGTAGGTGAACGTAAAAAGCTCGACCAACTGAAAAAAAGAAAACTGAAAATCATCTCAAGTAACCAAAGGTTGACTTTGTCGGGGTTGTTGATCACTTAAACAATAAGAAGCCACGTAGACCCATTTTGGGGTATTACAATAATATTGATTCAGTTAGACGTAACCTATTAATTGGATTAACCAAGATAAAATCGTTCATATTTTTTCTTTCTTTTAACTGTTTATGATTTGTGTGTTTATTGTTATTTTGATTTTCGTATCTCTTTATTCTTTTACATTTAAACTATGAGGGATTCAGGAATTTATGTGAAAGGAAGCATCATAAAATCTCAATATTTAAATAACATTGCATGTAACATAATTAGTTCTTTATAATGCTATAAAAAATGTTATATCTAAAATTTTAATACTGAAAACACGAATCTTTTTTTTTTTTTCCTAGTAATTTTTGACATATCAATGATTAATTTTCCAAGTGTAGAGTAAAAATAAAATAATAATAGTAAAGAAGCGAAAATGAAAATTAAATTATGATTACAGATTGTCCATTAATGCTCTTCAACTAGATTTTATTTGAATTATGATAACAGTTTAATAAAATAAATTAGAAAAATAAAAAATAAATTAGTGTATGATATAAACATAAATAATTGTGAGGTAAGATATATATTATTTTCAAACATGAAATGAAGAAAAATATCAAGGGCATCATGACGTTCGCTGTTTATGCGGGGCTGGTATTTGCTTCTTGGATGCTGCAGACCCTGCTTATGGGATGTGTGGCTGCTGCAGTCCCCTCTCTCGCGGCAGATGTTTGCTTGGCTGATATGTTTTGGTTGCTGCAGTCCCTGCTGTTGTGGGTTAAGGTTTTCCGGGTTTTGGTTGGCCTGCAGTTGTTTTGGCGTTCTTGGGTTCTTTTTGTTGTCTTTGGGGGTTGGCAGATTTGTATGCTCTGTCCCCCTTAAGGGCCTTTTGTATAGACACCTAAGGTTTTCTGGGTTTTGGTTGGCCTGCAGTTGTTTTGGCGTTCTTGGGTTCTTTTTGTTGTCTTTGGGGGTTGGCAGATTTGTATGCTCTGTCCCCTTTAAGGGCCTTCTGTACAGACACCCTTGGCTGCTTTTAGTTGTTTTGGGGTGTGTGATGCTTTGTAGAGAATAGTATTATCCCAACTCTTGTTTGTTTCTTTTTGCGCAGCGGTACTCCTTTCTCTTTTCAGGGGTCGTGCGGCTTGGGGGCTTACCCCTTTAAGTGTAATTCTTTATTCTTTATTAAATTATCAGTTAAAAAATATATATATATCAAGGGAATTACATTTTTTAAAAGGGCACAATTAATTAATTAAGAAATTAAAGGGCTTCTATGAGTTTTCAAAATTCAAGGGGAGCCTGGGTCCCCCTTTTCGCGTATGTAGGTCCGCCAGTGCACGTTAACACTAAACATAGGAGATGCACAAGACAATTCCAGGAAATTTTATGTTAGAATGACAGATGCAATTAGAAAATATACTGGTAGTGAAAGTCATAGAAAACATCAGGATTTGATTCATGGCCACATTTCATTGACTGTTTCAGGGAAAAAAAATTAAATAATTTTATGTGTAAGTTAAAACAATTCCAGTTGAATGAGTCCAAGAACAGTTGCATTTGCCATCTCTATATATAGCTCTACTTCTTGCTCTTCAACTCACTGCGAACCCAAAAAAGAAAATCAAATTTAGCGGTATCAAAAGCAGGAGAGAAAGAACAAAAATGGGTGAAGAGCATAGAGATGAAGTTCCAAGAGTGAAACTGGGAAGTCAAGGATTAGAGGTGAGATGAATGTAAACATGTATATAATTTATTTATACTCTTTCTATGTTTTTGGTTTCTGATTTAATTTTGTGATTTGTATTATTATGTTAAAGGTGTCGAAGTTGGGATTTGGTTGCTCGGGTCTCACTGGAATATACAATGATCCAGTCCCAGAAGAAGAAGCCTTTTCACTTGTCAAACATGCGTTTGATAAAGGAATCACTTTCTTTGATACTGCAGATGCCTATGGAAACAATGCTAATGAGCTTTTGGTTGGAAAGGTTAATTACAGGAATTGCTCCTTAAAATTTTTTAGCAGTTTGGCTGCAGTTAATCTTTTAGGGCAATCCTACCACTACCAGTTTGGTTCTTCCAATTCTAATTGTTGGGTTTGAAGACCAAACTGAACCCAATAACCCAAACTTATAATAAATAAATTAAGTTTAAAATAAAATAAATATTTATTTTATTATCTTTATATAACCACTAGTCTCATAAAAAAAAAAAAAAAAGTTATTATTCTCCTCTAAGAAGTTTCGAATTTAATAAATTCAAATTTTAGTTCTATATTTTTAATATTTTAAAAGGGTATTTCTTTTGTGTTGTCGTCTTATTTATATTGTCTAGTGAATTTTTTGTGTTAGACGACTAAGTCTAGTCGATTTATCACATTAATATTTTTAACTGGAAGCATATTAGGAAAATATATATATATATATATATTTTGTATACAAAAATAATACTCAGTTTGGAATTTAATAAATTCAAACTTTAGTTCTATATTTTTAATATTTTAAAAGGATATTTTTTGTGTTGTCGTCTTATTTATTTGTCTAGTAAACTCTTTGTGTTAGATGACATAATTCTAGTCAATTTTAACTGGAAACCTATTCGAAAAAAAATATATATTAAATATTATATATACAGATCAATTCCGAATGAATATTCAAAGATTTGATGCTATTGACCCCCACCCTCACCCATTAAACCTCTGCTCTAAATTTAGAGGTTCTAAATTTATCCCAATAAAATTTTTAACATCTAAATTTCTAAACAAAAGACACTCATTTCCAAGATAATCCTTATATTTAAAAATAAATAAATTTACTTATTTGCAGTAAATTTAATATAGTATAAAAATATTATATTTGTAATAAATTTAATGTAACTATGCCTAAAATAATTATTTTGAAATAAATTAGATAAAAAAAGTATTGATTTAATGATTTGTAATAAATTTAATTTTTAATTATATCTAAAATAATTGCTTTTAAAATTTATAATCATAATAGATATTACAATATGGATTAGAATGAATTGCCCTATTCTTTTAATCTATATAGAACTTTCATATTGTAAAGCTAATTCTCAGAACAATAAGAATGAATCACGTAAGATTATTTTGAGATTGAGTATTAATTTTTCATATTTTTCAGGCTTTGAAGCAGCTACCAAGAGATAAGATCCAGTTAGCCACAAAATTTGGTGTCTGGCACCAAAAGACTGGTACAATAATATGTGGTACACCTCAATATGTGCGAGCTTGCTGTGAAGCTAGTCTGAAGCGCCTCGGTGTTGAATACATCGATCTCTATTATCAGCACCGCGTCGACACATCTGTACCTATTGAGGATACCGTAAGTTCTGCATGCAGTGCATCATTTCATCGGCAGTTCTCTTTTAGGCCTTAGCTCACATTATGTTAATTTATCTTCTTCCCAGGTGGGAGAACTTAAGAAGTTGGTGGAAGAGGGAAAAATAAAGTACATCGGATTATCTGAAGCCTGTCCTGATACTATAAGGAGGGCACATTCAGTTCATCCCATTACTGCTCTGCAAATGGAGTGGTCTCTCTGGACTCGCGATATTGAGGAAGAAATTGTCCCACTTTGCAGGTTTATTTATATCCGTTAATAAACCGTTCTCATTCTCATTCAAATTTCACCTGCTGTTCAAAATTAAATTATTAATTATCTGTGGTTAATTTGGATATGGTGAATTTTTCAGGAAACTTGGAATAGGAATAGTGACTTACAGTCCACTTGCCCGAGGCTTTTTTGGTGGTAAAAAAGTTGTGGAAACTGTGCCTGAAAGCAGTATTGTGGTATAGCTCTATGCTACTCATCCATTTCTTCCCTTATAAATGTTCATCAGTCTTCAATATTAAATTTTTTATTAATTGGATGTTCAATCTTTCCTGAAGGCATCACATCCTTGGTTTGAAGGAGACAACTTTGAAAAAAACAAAATCTTATATTCGCGCATGGAAAAGTTGGCTGAAAAGCATGGATGCACCCCTACTCAGCTTGCACTTTCCTGGATTCTTCACCAAGGAGATGATGTTGTTCCAATTCCTGGTAAATTCTGTATTTCGAAACAGGATTCTTCAACCTCTCACGTCAGTCTTTAACTCCCTTTTTTCTTTTTTGCAGGAACAACAAAAATTAAAAATTTTGACAACAATTTTGGTTCTCTGAGGGTGAAGCTTACAAAGGATGACTTAGAAGAGATTTCTGCTGTGATTCCCATCAATGAGGTGGCGGGGAGTCGATTCAAAGATGATAATTATCTTCGTGTCTCCTGGAAATTTGCTATCACGCCAACAAAAGAGATTCCTGCAGCTTTTTAAAATAGTTAGAATTTGTATTCATGAGCTGTTAAGCTTGGGATGCATCTAATGGTAATTAAAGAACTGCAGGAATTTGCGTATCTTCTGTGCAACTAATAACTATAAAATGTAAGAATAACCGACGTGGAGTTTGGTTTCTGTTTGTTTTAACAAGCCACTGTCGGGTATCCATTATGATGTTTTCCTTCTTTTAAATAAACCTCCATGGATCGAGAAAAGTATATATAATGTACTTAATATTTATTATGATGTTGAATATATGACTTTTGAGTTTGTTGCCCTTTCTTTTTTCTTACTATAATCTTGTTTGCGTACTTTGCAATCATCATCGCCTCCAATGAATTCCTTCCTCAAAATTTTTTATTTTATCATAGACCTCAAGCAAATGGGAAATCAATCAAACTAAATACCTATATAACTAAGAAGTCAAAATAATCTTATCATTCTATAAACTCTTAATTATGGGTATACAAAATCACAAACCTACCCACCGATGGATAGCCCGATGATAAGAGACGCAATTGGTCTTGGCTTTGTCAGAGATTCCAAGTTCGAGTCCCTATCAGCACACCCATGTATTGACTAATGGGTTGTGGTGGTAGGTTCCTGCAGCCCCTCGAAGAACTAAGCAGGTTCGGCTACAAGTGGACCCGCAATGGCCTGGATATCTCAATTATAAAAAGAAAAAATATATCCCAAACAGCATTAGCATTGATATCATTTTGTCATGCCCCTTTGACCATTTCCATGTTGAGGGCGTGACATTACAAGGAATTTCAAGCAAGTTATCTCCGGAACCAAAAGTTTTTGCTTTACTTATACGAAGTTCTTATAAAATTTCCGAGCACAAGTTTATTATAGAGATCTTAAAAGAAGATTTTTTTTTTTTTTTTTTCAACCCAATAGTAAAATAATTTTGCAAAATATTGAAAATATATTCTTCAAAAACAAACTTGTATATATGGGAATTTTTCTAAAATTCGCAAAATTCTTTTTGAGGTACAAATTTAGATTCTAAATCATACGTGGAAGAACACGAGAACTGAGAAACAATTTAGGAAAAATATTGGTATTTTGAGGGGTCTTAGTGTATTAATGCACGTGACTATCACGTGCCTTCTCTGTTCTGCTGATGTAACGTTTGAGGTTGGGAATTTTACACTTCATGAAGTCTTATCTTCTTTATCGGGCAAATTATTCAGCATGGTGATGCAAAATGTACCAGTAATCTATGAAAAATACAATAACTTTGACCGATGAAGAAAAATTAACGTAGATGCAGATGACTAACATCTTCACCATTGGAAAAAGAAGCAAGTTATAGGATCATATGGGAAAGGCTTCAGGATATTAAGTAGCGTTTTTTGTTTAAATTTTTATCCCATTCTGGATCCTATTTTTCAAATAGCGTTTGGTACAATATTCTCAAAATTTACCCTATTTTTTTTAATTACATTTTAACCCCATAAGTGTATTAATTTTACTAAATACCCCCTGAAAAAAAAGTTTAAAAATTAACAAAAACACCCCCATTAACCCAACTTGTCAGATCGGCAACCACCGTCGGGTGATAGCCGGAATCTGTACAACGGCCAAACTTCCAACCAGAAATGGCCGGAAGTTCGTTGTGGGCCTTTTCCGGCCAGATCCACCACGGATCTGGCCGGAAAAGGCCAGATCTGGCCGTCAGCGACGGCCAAAGAAATGGCCGTCGTTGACGGTCAACGACGGCCAAATCTTGGCCGTCGTTGACCGAAAACGACGGCCACATCTTTGGCCGTCGCTGACGGCTAAAGATGGCCGTCGTTTGGCCTTTTCCGGCCGTCGACGGCCAATACAAACCGTAGATCTGGCCTTTTCCGGCCAGATCCACCATGGATCTAGCCGGAAAAGGCCATAACGACGTGTTACGGCACAGATCCGACAAGTCTGTGCCGTAACGAAATTTTCCGGTCAGATTCCGGCGGTGGTGGCCGGAATCTGACACTGCAGATGGTGGGGGTGTTTTGGTCATTTTACATGTTAGGGTCTTTATTTAAATTAGTAAACCTAAGGGCTTTTTTATAAATTTTTAAAATTTACCTCGTAATACTCCCATATCCAATAACCCAATACTATCCCTAAAATCCTATCCAAAATACTAAACCAAACGCACCCATAGTGTGTTTGTTATTTTGTTTCTCTTTTTTATCTTATCCTACTCAAAATATATATTTATTTTAATATTCTTAAAATTCAATCGGATTCTATTTAATTCAAAATATTTAGATTTTTTAACCTCTAAGTTTGTTAATTTTACTAAATACCTCCAACAATAAAGGTTTATAAATTAACAAAAACACCCTCACCCACACACATATTCCCGACAGCCGACCACCACCATCGAAAGGTGACCAGAATCTGTCAGAATGACACACGACCGGCTGGATGTAGCTGTCGTGCACCAATTTGAACTTTTCTGGCCAGATCTATGGTAGATTTGGCTGGAAAAAGTCAAATCTACGGTCAAAGACATCAAGATCTTTGGCCAGATCTAGACGTTGACGATGATATCGTCAACGACGGCCAAATCTAGCCAGTCGTGCATCATTTTAACGACTTTCGGCTACCCTTTGGCTGTGGTGGTCGGCTGCCGGCATTTAATGGATGGATGGGGGTGTTTTGTTAATTTTTATGAATTTTCTTTAATGGAATATGAGTTTCATGAATGTTCTTATTGATTTTTTTTATTTTTTTATTTTTTGGGATGACAGAAGATGTATGAACCAGCTTACGTCTACTTCAACTAATTCTCCAAAACTTAGAATTACCAATCTGATAAAAGCTTTTATGGTTACCCTTATTATGTTACCTTTATTAGCAAGCGAGGTAGGACTCAGAACTTAGATATATCCAAGAGCCTTTATCAGAGACTCGACTATGCAAAGGTAGTTAATGTTCTTATTGATTAATAAACGAAGAAAGGATGGCCAAACAGTAAATATTATATGCCTCACTATAGAGATAAGGACTGGTTTAGATTTGGCGATTCCCGAATAGTTAAATAAGGCAAGTGCATTGGCTGTTTCTTTACAAATTACAGGGAGAAAGTCTCAAGTTGGTGTCAAGAGCAGAACAGGGAGGAGAGAGCAGAGTTAAAGAAAATGGGTGAAGTTCCAAGAGCGAAACTGGGAAGTCAAGGATTTGAGGTAAGATTTAATGTCCATCGGGGCAAAATGTAAACAATTTGTTTATTCTTATTGCTTTTTGTTATTTCTATTCTTTAAGTATTGGTTTCTTTATTTGAGATTTTGAAATCATAAGGAGGTCTGAATATATTTTTGTTTCTAATATGATCAACTGTCTTAAAGGTGTCAAAGTTGGGATTTGGTTGCATGGGCCTCACTGGAATATACAATGACCCAGTCCCAGAACAGGTTGGCATTTCAATCATCAAGCACGCATTTGATCAAGTAATCACTTTCTTTGATACATCAGACGCCTATGGACCCCATACTAATGAGCTTTTGGTTGGAAAGGTAAACCACATTTACTCCAAAATTCTCCATGGTTGCAGTTATTTTTTTGAAGTGATACAGAAATTAAACTTCCTAATCTCAGTATGGTAGTAACAATGAACTTAATTATTCTGGTATGCCTCCATGTTTGTGTTTTCTACTTGGGATGTAAGAGTGGTTAGTGATTTATTAAATTCTGCATATTTTCAGGCTTTGAAGCACCTACCTAGAGAAAGGATCCAGTTGGCCACAAAATTTGGTATTGTCAGATTCGATAATAGTAAAGTCATAATATGTGGTACTCCTGAAGCTGTACGCTCCTGTTGTGAAGCTAGTCTGAAACGCCTTGATGTTGAATACATTGATCTCTATTATCAGCACCGGGTTGATACATCGGTACCTATTGAGGATACTGTAAGTTCTGCTGCAGCGTTTCTGTTTTTGTTCTCATGAACGTTCATTAGCTGCCCTTACTTATTAATCAATTCTTACTGTGAAATTGTGATCATCTTTGAGCTCAAGTTCAAATTAAGCTAAAAGTGTATATTTTTTGTCCTAGATGGGTGAACTTAAGAAGTTGGTGGAAGAGGGGAAAATAAAGTACATTGGCTTATCTGAAGCTAGTCCTTATACTATAAGAAGGGCACATGGAGTTCATCCCATTACTGCTGTACAAATTGAGTGGTCACTCTGGACTCGTGACATTGAGGAAGAAATTGTCCCACTTTGCAGGTTCTTTATATCTGATAAACCAAATTTCTTATGAAAATTAAATACTTTCCCTACATGCATGTTACAATTCTCGTTTTTACTCAAAGTTTACTTGTAAACTGATTACAATTTGCAGTCCAACATTCTGATTCTGCTTAATTGATTGCTCTTTTTCTTAATTGTCTTAGGATCCATGAACTTTTCCTTGAAACTCTTATAGGCCTGCAATGTATGTTTTTCTGTTTCTAGTTAAATTCTGTAAAATACTACTTAGTTATAGTTGTCGTTTGGTTATGGTCAATGTAACAGGGAACTTGGAATTGGTATAGTCCCATATTGTCCTCTTGGTCGAGGGTTTTTTGCTGGCAAGAAAGTTGTGGAAAGTGTGCCTGCTAAAAGTTTTCTGGTATGCCACTGGGACTTATCAATTTCTTGCCTTATGTGTTTATTTAACCTTCAATGCTTTGTAAATTCAAGTTAACAAATGCATGATTTTTTTGGAGTTAGTGCATTTTGATACTGTCATCTTGTTTCTTATGCAAATAATCTTATTAACTGATAGCCAACCTTTCCTTTAGGAATCACACCCTAGATTTCAAGGAGAGAACTTTAACAAAAACAAGATCTTCTATTGGCGTATGGAAAAGTTAGCTGAAAAGCATGGATGCACCCCTGGACAACTTGCACTTTCATGGATTCTTCTTCAAGGAGACGATGTAGTGCCAATTCCTGGTAAATTGATCTTTCCTCTTTCTCTTCTTCGACTTTACCAAACATTCTCATGGATTTCATGGCAGCAAAAAGTTATTTTTTTCTGTTTTGTTATCCAGACAATGCTGCTGAGTTTTTGACACAATCTAAAAGGCTTCAAATTTTCTTTATATATATAATAAAACCTCTCTATAGTGACACTCTATAGAAGAATAACCTCCATGTAATCATGAAAAATTATAGTCTCAACTTGGATCAATTATAAATAAGAATAAACTCTACATTGTAATAAGTTATAATTTTTCTAGGTCCCATCTTAAGGAACTTGTCTCCATATAATAATAATTATCTGTATATTGCAAAAATTATATGTTATGTTATATTAAAAGTTTAAGATGAAATAAAATATTTATCTAAAGTTATTTGGGACAATAATTTATGTTTTATAGTTGTTACCACATCTTTGAACTTACAGGTACGTAATAACTCGCTAACATGGCACTTTCTTGTCGAAGCTAATGTATTTCTAGATTCTCAAGCATGTTTAGAGTTTTTTGGCATAAAACTATGTCTATCTCTTTTATCAATGTCTATACCTTGGATTTGACATGCTCCATTAATTAATTAGTAACGCAGTCCATACTTTACCTCTATACCACTTGCATTGAGGATAACTAAGTCAAAATAATAATTTTTTGTAATTATACCTCTATTAGGTTATAACATTCTCATAATAATAAAATTAGTTTGGTTTTACCATTATGACTATAGAGATGTTTTACTTGTATATAAATATATATATATAGTCCAATGACCCTTGCTAGTTAGACTATGCTGGAACTGATACTCTACCCTCACTTCATCCAACTTACCCTTCAAGTGATGTGCAATTGTTACACTCAAGTCTCATCTTGTTCATACCTTCGGAGACTGGAATTGGTTTGCAAGAGTTGCAATAATTTTCTATAAATTATTAATTGATACACTTCTAATGAATGAACTGTGAAGACATGTACAGTTGTAACATCATTTTTGAACCTCTCTTCACTTCTTAAATTTTGTCTGTGCAGGAACAACTAAGACTAAGAATCTTGACAATAATATTGGTGCACTAAGAGTTAAGCTTACAAATGAAGATTTAGAGGAGATTTCTGCCGCTGTACCCATCAACGAGGTTTCAGGGAGTAGATTTATAAATGATAATTTTCTTCTTGCCTCCTGGAAATTTGGTAACACACCAGCAAAAAACAGTCCTGCAGCAGCTCAAAGGATCTAAAACTTGCAAAAAAAAAATTGCATGATTGAGCTATTCAGCGGAGGATATACCAATTGATGGTTAAATAAATGCAGAAACTTGCAAATCTCACATGCAAAGGAAACACCTATGTGGAGATCCATTTCTGTTTGTATCAATAAATGATAAGGGAAATGCTAGGTGGCTGTACATGTTTGGTGCAATATGAATTGGATATCAGTTTGTTGTATTGGCAGCAATGATGTTACATTATGAGAAAAATGTGGAGATACAAGAGAAGTTTCAACAAGTAATCACCGTAATCAGAGAAGGATATTCACTTACATCCAAAGAACCTGCGGATTTTGTTCTGATATTTTTTGTGCAGATCCTAAAAGTGACCTTATAGCCTTACTTCCAAGGTGTAATTTGTGCTACATATACCTCGTTAACCTTTTTCTCACAAATTTCCTTGCTATCGTCTGTCAAACAATTATTCCCGAATATAACTATATGATGAGTCAATTAACATTGGCTCGAGCCAATGTTGAAAGACGTCAAAATGTTAAAAAGGTAAAGCCTTTTGGTTCTGCATCAACTGCATCATATAAACCAAGCTGAGCTACTTAGTAATGCAAACAAGGTGCAAAATTGTCACTCTCAAATTAACTGATGAAAGATGTGGATGTATGCAGTGTGCCCAACATTTTTCTGTTCGTCAAAACAGAGGGAATATCCAAGAAGATGTCGAAAAGTAATCAGGGAAAGGATAAGAAAGATGACACATGCACTTTGAAGACATGTTGGTAGCAAACATCATGAATTAACTTTTTCATCTTCAATATTTCATATACATTGAACCTGTGTCATGTGTTTGACTCTTGGTTCTCATATATCTTTGACTAGTAATAGGAAAGAATAGTCTAAACAATAAAATATTATGACCTCAGTAAAGAATGGTCCACCAAAGCCCCCTGTATTTGCTATTTCCTTACAAATTTCAGTCTCTTGGTTCTCATATATCTTTCAGCAAACTGCTAGAGGTCTTAAGTCATACAAGACAGGAGAGGAAGAACAGGTTTTGAAGAGAATGGCCGAAAAGCAAAGAATTATAGTTCCAAGAGTGAAACTGGGCAGTCAAGGATTTGAGGTAAATTGATGATCTTGTCCTTATATTCATTAAAATTCTAAGCTATTTCATCTTTGCAATTCATATTATCTTAGTTTTTTGCTATCTTGGCTTTATTCTTTGAAGTGTTTGTTAATTTCTTCATCTCTAGCTACCTTTTTCTTTTCTAAGTTTATAGGAAATTGTTTGAATTTATTGATAAGCAATTCCAAGCTTTTCATCTTGAACTTATCTAGAAGATTTTACATGAACTCTGATTGGTGTGAACATTTAACTTTTTTCCTTTCCTTATCTGTATAAAATTTGCAGTCAGATGATTGATCTCTCTGCCTACTTTTGTCCGTTTTCTCAATCTAAAGATTGATAAAATTGATTGATCGCAAGTTTTATCCTATTTTTCATTTGAAAGCAAGAGCAAGAGCCAAGAACTTAAACACTTCATCAAAATTGTGCAATCATAAAGAGAAGTTTCTGTTCCTCATCTAATTTCTTTAATATATAATGTCTTAAAGGTGTCAAAGTTGGGGTTTGGTTGCATGGGTCTCACCGGAATGTACAATGATCCTGTCCCAGAAGAAGTTGGCATTTCGATCATCAGGCATGCATTTGATAACGGTATCACATTCTTTGATACATCAGATGGCTATGGACCCCATACCAATGAGATTTTGATTGGAAAGGTAAATGCACTTGCGAATATATTCTCAAAAACAATGCACATTCGTCGGAATGTGTTTATGTTTGTGAAATCTACCTGGCATTTAAGATTTGCGTATGATGATGTTAGTAAATTCTGCATATTTCAGGCTCTGAAGCAGCTACCAAGAGAAAAGGTCCAGTTAGCTACAAAATTTGGTTTTGTCAAATTTGATAATGGTAAGCCCATAATATGTGGTACCCCCGAATATGTTCGCTCCAGTTGTGAAGCTAGTCTGGAGCGGTTTGATGTGGAATACATTGATCTCTATTATCAGCACCGGGTTGACACATCGGTGCCTATAGAAGATACTGTAAGTACTGCTGAATGCCATTAATCATCAATCATTGGCGTTGGTCTTTTAGAATGAAGTTCGAGAAAGCTTATAGTACATTTTCTTCTTTCCTAGATGGGAGAACTTAAGAAATTGGTAGAAGAGGGAAAGATAAAATACATTGGGTTGTCTGAAGCTAGCCCTGATACTATAAGGAGGGCACATACAGTTCACCCCATTACTGCTTTACAAATGGAGTGGTCACTCTGGACTCGTGATATTGAGGAAGAAATAATCCCACTTTGCAGGTTCTTTAAATTCAAGCCTAATCTGCAAAAAATAAAATGAAGTATTCTATGTTGATTCTTGTGCTAAAGTTTCAGTGAATTCAAGTTGTTTGCATCTCTTTCTCTTTCAGTTTGTGTAGTTTTCACTCTGTATTGATTTTCTTTTCTGCTTCTGACAACTAACATAACAGGTCATCTTTGGATATTATGAATGTCACAGGGAACTTGGAATTGGGATAATTCCATATAGTCCTCTCGGGCGAGGTTTTTTCGGTGGCAAGAAGGTTGTAGAAAGTGTGGCTGCAAACAGTTTCCTGGTATGGCTTGGCCACTCATTCACTTTTGGCCTTATAACATCAATCTTCAATGCTTCATTAACTTGAGCTCATAACTACAGTTTTAAAGAGTTGGTTCAATTTGATAATTTCATCTTGTTTCTTATTGGAATAATCTTGATTAACTGATGGTCAACCTTTCCTGAAGCAAATACATCCTAGGTTTACCGGAGAGAATTTGAACAAAAACAAGATTTTATATTTGCGTATGGAAAAGTTGGCTGAGAAGCATAGATGCAACCCTGCACAACTTGCACTGTCATGGGTTCTTCACCAAGGGGATGATATAGTACCAATTCCTGGTAATTGATCTTTCATTTTTTCTCCTCAGCTTCATTAAAGATGTGCTGCTCAAACTAACTAGTATCCTCATCGTGGATTTCCTGGAAGTAAACATTGAATAATCTCTCCACTCTCTATTACTGAAACACATTTTTTTAATCTCTTCTCACTTGAGCTTTTTTTGGAGCAGGGACAACTAAGATTAGCAATCTTGACAATAACATTGATTCATTAAGAGTGAAGCTCACAAATGAAGATTTAGAAGAGATTTCTGCTGCGATACCCATCAGCGAGGTGGCCGGGAGTAGATTAAATGATAACTTTGTTGGTCCTGCCTGGAAATTTGCTAACACACCGGCAAAAGATAGTCATCCAGCAACAAAAAGCAAGTAAAATTTTGATTTTTGTACTGATGAGCTATTCAGCTTGGAATATACCTAGTGATGGTGAAATAAATGCAGACCCAGAAACAGAAAGCTGGAATTGATTCCGTCTGTTTCAATATATGACAAGGGAAATGGGAGGCTAGCCAATAGCCATTGTAGTACAGTGTAGTGTTGAATGTTTTATTTAATGGAAGCTAATTATTTTGGTAGCAACACAACTCTTCCTGAATTAGAATCTCATACACAATAGTCTTCGTCAAATTTAATTAACAGATGAAAAATGTCAGTGCAGTGACCTTACATTTTCCTATTCCTAATAAGGAAGTAAAAGGGATTTTCAATTTTTTTTTTTTTTAAGAAGGATTATTAACTCTTTCTCAATTGTGTTGTACATTGAAATTAAACGAAGATTTATACAGAGAATGGTGCCGCCCACCCAACCAGTGCAAATTAAAATCCTTTTCTTCCCATGAGATACGTGTAATACTTGTGTCCTTTGGTCGCACTTCCATCAGGTGGAAAATCCACGTGGCACATAACAACACTTTAAAATTTTCGAACCTGTATATGTAACAAATATGAGGGTTCATCCGTTCATGTGACATAGGAAAAAAATTGACTGGAAAATATAGGTGGTGTGATAAATAATTCCAGGAAATCGATACACAATGGAAGAAAGAAAGAAAAACCGGATGGGGTTTGTGAAGCTCTGATAATGTCACTTAATAAAAGAGTAATACTATACTTATAAAGAAATTTTACAAATGTATTCATACAAAATGATGTAACAAAAAATGAATGGAAGAGTGAATATAATGAGTTTGACTTTTTGTTTCACTCTTTCATTCATTTTTTACTATCTCACTTTGTATGAAAATCTTTGTAAGATTTCTTTATAAGTATAGTATTATTGTTAATAAAAATAATAACCTATAAATAGGTAGTATACTGTATACATCATAATAAATAAAAACAAGGGAGAACAACTATACCCCACCCAAGGTTTGGCAAAACGACAATTTCCCACTCGTCAAGTTTTAAAACGACACTTTCTCACCCACCGTTATATTCCATTAGAAAAATCCGTTACTATTTGACTATAAAGACGAAAATACATTTTACTATTTAATTTAATATTTTTTTTGTTATTTTATGTCATGCAACAAAGTCAATTACCAATATAAATTTACTTTCCCATTAACAATAACAATACCTTGTAATTGAGCAGTAATAAAAGGTTGTTGGGCGAGTATCAAAATAAGCATTGAGAAAATTCTACAGAGAGAGAAGAAGCAGAAACATGACAAAACCAGATCAGTTTTTTTTTTTTTTTCCTTTTTGATTGGTTCATGTCTGCCCTTTCACTGCTTTACTACCCACACCACACACGCTTTCTGGAACAATGACAACATTTTGTTGAATCAAATTTTTATTTTTCTAGTATTCGCATAGACCATAGTACCCACTACCCAAAAACCTCAAACGCACATGGCTTCTCTAACATCTCTCTTTCATTCTCCATCCTTAATTTCTTGTTGTTCATCATCTTCTTCTTCTCCTTCCTCCACCAAATGTATTCTGCCCAAATCTTCTTCCTTCACCAAATGTATTATGCCCACATCATCTTCTTCTTCTCTTTCCTCCAACAAACCCATTAAAATTTCCAATCTCTAATGATATTATTTAACTGAAATTCATATACATATTTTTTTTAGGAACCCAAACAACACAACATAACAACAAACCCATTGAAGTTTTTTCATCTCTACTGAAATTTAATAATTAAAATTCATATACAAACTCTATTCACAAACCCACACAACACAAAATTCAACATCCGACAAACGCAAAACACATGTTTCAAAAAAAGAATCTTCAAATCCTCCTGCCACTGAAAATCCACAAAAAATAAGCCCCAAAATCATAAACCCACAGACCATAAGATCCAAAAGAAAAATTGTGTGCAAGAAAAGAAAGGGGGTTACGGTGTCAACGTCAGTGTCATGGTCAAGCTAGGATTCTGTGACGCTGCCTTCGGCCGAGATTTGGTTGGCTGTGAGCTGAGTTGGTAGCGTCACAGTCAGCCCAACTCATGGCTGAAGGTT